ATGATAAATACATGAGTTTGTCACCTTCATCGGCATCATCATCTTCTTCATCACTGGGTACAGGAGATAAATGAAAACGAGGATGACTATCAATGGATACTTGAGATTGTTCACCTAAGGTAAATATTAAGAAAAAGCAATCAAAATTTGAAGAAATTGTAAGATGTCGAGAAGTGACTCGGCATCGTCGTCTGTAAGCGGAAATGAACATTTTTGATATTGTAAAAACAAAACACTCTACTAGTATCCCATCCTTCTAAGCAAAAAAAAAAGCCAGCTTAATCTAGATTAAAAGGAACATTTACCTAGTTGCAGCTAGTTCTAAGCTAGTTTAAGCTAGGTAAATATACCTGTTAACCTAGATTATTGCTAGTTCCAAAAAAAAATTTTCTCCTACAGTAAGGAACGTGTACGTCAGGAAAAAAATATCTCTCTAAATGTTACAGTATCGTAAATAGGGAGAACAATAATTAATAATATAGGAAAATACCAAAATATTTATATTCATAATCCTATAGACTTTTTACTCTACTCATTTTTCTCATAAATTGTAGGAAGGAAAACAGCGTGGTGTGTTTTTTGCAATAATAATAAACCTTGAACTTGAATAACAAAATTATTATGTATTTATTATGTGTAATATTTTTTAATGTTCTTAACATTCTATAATACAGTAGAATTATACAATAAACTTACGATATAATTTTTTGTCGGATGCCATGTATTTTTAAATGAACATATGCATAAGACTGTATTTTATATTTTTACTATATATTCAGTTATCATTTATTTACTCGTAATTTTATAAACATTAAATGATAGATATTTAGGGAAATTGAATGTGATATAATCTTGATAATTGTCTAAATATTTTACTTTCTTCTTCCAGTTAAGTATATTAATATGTTTAATAAGCGAATGTAGATAAGATGATAGTTATACCATCACCACTTTGACGGACTCAATCAGGCTTATTATTATATGTACACTTGCTCCATTATTTGTTCGTTCTTTTTTTTTTTTTTTCTCTTCTTCTTCTTTTGCATACAGGTACAATGCACAAATATGAAAAACAAGTTTGTATAAGAAGTTTTTTTTTTTTTTTTTTTATTTATTTTTTTTTTTCGTATACAAATCGAACAACGAATACGTATTAACTTGACTAAATAATTTTCAAGGTATACAGTTATGATGTTGTTATGATACATGCGTGAGAAAAACAGACGCATTTAAAAGAATATGTTATATTACTTTCATGCTAATTTGTAAGTTCTAATTTACCTTGTTCAATCATAGAATCTTGAGTTGAAATTATAGAACGACGAATATTACATATACTTTAAAAGTGAGTAAGAAAAATCTAAAAATAGTCCCATATATATTACATTGGTGTCAAGTATTTTTAATAAAAAATAAGTTTTTTTTCAAGTTTAAAGAACCGTGTTACTGTCCTTCATATATAGTAGTAAAAGAAATATCTCTAAACTGGAATAATGTTCGTTTTTTTTACTCTCACATCTATCAATCATAATGATAAAGACATTTTTTAACACTTATCATTTCAATTGATTTTTACTTGTCCTTGGAATCCTATTCTCTTTTCATGACTGATGACTATTGAACACTCAATATAAAATGTTTAATAAACAATAATTCAATTAATTAACAGATAGAAAACAAAATAAATAGATAGTTGATCAAAACTAAACGATAAGAAACCATTAGACAATCACATGATAACTATTGAAATAAAATCTAAAGGTAAAAATTACTCATTTGCTAACGGTTCATGAAAATACCTTTACATGACTCAATCTTTCGCATATATACATTTACATTGCCCGCTACTCTTCGCTTCAGCATGAAAATGGCACGTGTTACAATTAGATATTTTTATTTTCAAGTTAAATAAACCAAATAATTTGAGTCTAAACATCTGTCTAAGATTGAATTATTTTGTTTTTGCTTGTTAATCAATTAAACAGTCAACACTCCGTAAACCATATGCTTCAAGCCTCTTACCCACATCGTACTTTCAAGGCAATTTTTCTTACATTATTCACATTTCGTCACTGTTTTATCTGACTAATCATTAAAAATGGTGAATTTTATTTAATTATCTTTATTTCTACTATATACAGTGCTTTTATTTTCAGACATGGACAAATGACTATACTGCGCAGCGAAGAAATTTTTGAAGAAAGCAGAAAAGTTATCTTACAGTCATGTAATTGAATGTTGTATCTGTGTAGACACCTTTCATTTAATTCGAGTAATTTATTAAGGGTAACCCACCCCTCATTTTAGGCTTTCCGTAGAAATATTGTGAAATGAAAACTAAAAGTTACTAAGGCTTCATATTTCCAGAACTGATTGGAAGCTTAATGGAGCACTTTTCGTTTTCGTTTCTAGTTTGTAACTATTGCCGCTCACCAGTTGTCCAGAAAACTCGGTTTTTCATTGTGTCACATTACAACCCCCTTAAATTTCATCCGATCGAGTTAAAAATTTTACTATAGATACTGAAGATCATAGAACAGATGTATGATGTTGGAATTTTCTTTTAGACCTTTCTTTGCCGATTTATAGAAAAAATACTGAAAAACGTCTCAAAAACCAAGTTTTTCAGTTTTAGAAACCCTATAAGTCTGTAAAGAAAAGTCTAAAATGAAATTCCAGAAAATTAGCTCTGCAATAGTGTCTTGAATACTTCTGGTAAAATT